TTAGAGGAGATTAAAGAAACATGACAACTAAATGCAACAAGTGATTTTGGCTTAGTACCCAAAAAGGAATTTTTTTTTATTTTGCTATAAAAGAATATTAGCTGCAAAACTGCTGAAATTTAAATGAGTTATCTCAGATAATAATATTACGTTAGTATTAATTTTCTGATTTTGCTACTTGTACTAAGGTTATACAAAAATTCTAAAGCAAAATCAACAGGCAATTATAAAAATTCAGAGGTATAAAATAATTGTTTCTGGCTTCACTTACAGTATATTGTTAACATTTTTTCAATTCAATTTCAACTATAAACATTATTTTTTAAGAGTAGTGAAATAATACAACCTATAGCTGTATACTGTAGTTTCTATAGCTATTCTGATTGGGCATATTTATTTTTCCAGAATTTTTGCTTATATAAATAACACTGGTATATAATCTTCACATATTACTTCGAATCATTTCTTATAATAAATTCCTATGTGTTTAACAACAAAATCACACATTTTTAGCAATTGTCATATGTATATATCACCAAATATCTTCCTGGAAGACTACCAACTCTCTCTCTCCTCCTCCATTTCCCTCCTGCTCACTCCTCCAACCGCTCTCAACACGTACAGGCAAAGGCACACTCACACAAGTAAGAGTATTTCCCATTTTGAAACCTCTTTAGCCATATCTATTTGGTGACGTAGCTTATACTACTTCATATTTTGCTTTTACTATTTGGGAAGTTGAGTATTATTGCATATGTGAGCTGGCCATTTGAATTTTCACCTTTTTTTTTTTTTTAATAATTTTATTTATTTATTTATTTTCCCCGAAAGCCCCAGTAGATAGTTGTATGTCATAGCTGCACATCCTTCTAGTTGCTGTATGTGGGACGCGGCCTCAGCATGGCCGGACAAGCGGTGCGTCAGTGCGCGCCCAGGATCGAACCCGGGCTGCCAGCAGCGGAGCGCGAGCACTTAACCGCTAAGCCACAGGGCCAGCCCTCACCTTTTTTTTTAAATGTTCTTCATCCATTTCATTTTACCCCATTTGGAGCTTTAATCAAAAAGATGAAATTGATATAAAATTTTTTTATTTTGAGGCAATTAAACTGTTTACCTATTACACTTACTATACCTTTCTTAGTTTGGGTTTAAAATTTTGTTTATGGTGCACTCATATATAGGCTTCCTTCTTAATTTCCACAGTTCTATTACTATTTAAATCATTATTTAGCTGATCTGGACTCATATAATAACTGACAGAATAGAAAGCTAAATTTCCTGCAAATGGTTTCCTGGTTATCACAGGACCATTTACTTAATCTCCCCTTTCACCACTGATCTGCATGACCACCTTTACCACAGACTAAACTCTTAATCACCTTTTAGTTGGCTTTTAAGGTTTTTTTGGGCTCTTTTTGTTACACCAGTCTTAGAATACATTTTAATAATTTATTGGCTAAATGTCCTCATATTTTTATTCCTCTGAATCATTCCCTCTACCAATGAGCTTTAAAGTCAGTTGGTCACACTTCTCTGCACACCCTTAAAAAATATTCTTGAGATTTTTTTCTTGGAATCACATTAAATTAAGTTATGATTATTGGTCTATTCAAATTGTTCTACAACTGCTTTAACCTATTTTAATATATTTTATTTTTCTTGAAAATTATACATTTCATTAAGACTGTCATTTTTATTAGTATGCATCGGCACTGTCTAAATTATTTTAATCTACTCCATATTATGATAGCCAATTTCAACTGTGTACTGAAACATTTTATATGGGCTCTTATTTTGTCTCTCTACATTTACCATCTTAAGTTTTTCCCAGCTTCTTGAGCTGAATGCCTAGTTCATTTATTTTCATTCTTATCTAAAAATAAATCCATTTAATGATATAAATTTTTAAGGACAATTCTGACATTTCATAAATTTTGATATGTAATATTTCCACTAGCATTACTTTTTGAATTGTCTAGAGCAGCATCTGGAACTACTCTGATACAAAGGTATTCTGAGGAGTCTTGACTCTTCCACATTACCATCTGTTCATCTGTCTCTGTCTAAATATTTATTTATTCAGGGTTCTGATTCAGAGAATGTAGATGGTACAATTTATCCTGTTTTAGAATCAATCCATTTTTCTAAATGCTCCAAGACTACTATCAATAATGTGTATCCTTTGACGCAAAGTATAAAGTGAGACGAGTTCTGAGAATTAAAGTAGTTAATATATGTAAAATACTTTGAGCAGTGTCCATGAATAGTAAGTACAAAATAAATGCTATGTTACCACTATTAACACTGCTTTAATTGAGCTATACTTTAAAATCTCCCACCACTTTTAAGTTTTAATCAATTTTCTAAAACTTCTAACAGTTACTGCTTTATATAAATTCCAATGCTTTACATAATGTCACACAAATTATTACTTCTTTGAGGGGACTATGCCTTTTGTTTATATAAAAAACTGTATCTGTCTTTTATGCTTTTTTCTTTGAGTTCTATTTTTGCTTGCACTTTTCTTGTTGTTGCTGTTTGTGTTTGTTGCAGTTTTAGTTTTTGCTATATTCTTTAGGATTCATATATTTGCTGGGCTTATCCTCAACTATTCCTCTATTTTCAATCCTTTTTGTGTCAATTTGTTTTAGGTCTCTCTCTTCTAAAGAGTACAGCTAGAAATGAAGGGTAAGGCCTTCAGTGCAATCTGTCATATCAGCTCTATCCAATAAACACTAATAGGATTTCCTCCTCGACAACCTCCCTGCCCTTCAGCAGATGCTAAGGCTAGAGTCTTCTGGAAGACCACAGACTATTTAACCCTTAGGCATGCTTTTATTCTGCATACAGTGACTCACATGTTAGGCAGCCTTCTAAGTATTTTTTTATCTTCTATAAATTCTTTTAAGTTTTCAGTGTGAGGATAGCAATATGTCAATGGGATTTCTTGTGGGTGGAGGTTGAAGAGATATTAACACACTGGCTCAGAGTACTATCTCAAACCCAAAGTCTCCTTTATTATATGATAATAGTAAGTGCTGCTCTAAAAATTAAAAAAAAAAAACACTATTCTGATTGCTTTTCTTTTTCAACTAGATTCAACGTCTATTCTTTCTAGCTCATGGAATTTGCTAGAAATTCCAAATCAATGTTATATAAATGGCAATAACAGAAAACCTTTTCTTGTTCCTCTATGTAGAGTTTGCCAATGCCCTCCAGCCAAAGACCAATAGAAACACACCTGTAGTTGAACACGTTTTATTTATTGCTCATTGCAAGGAAGAATATAGCACACTATGGGTAAGAAAGAGGTGTCTCAGTAAGAGAAGTTAGAAACAATTTACAGGATTTAGGCTCAGGTTAAGTGATTTGGGAGAGGATTCAACGAAATAAGGCTTTGCTCTGGATTGGATACTGTCAAGAAGCAGAGATAATTCTGTGACTGAGTATCTTAAAAAATCTTACCTACAAGGACAGAGATCATAGTGAAACTAAAGTTGTAATTAGTAAAGAAGCAGCAATTGTTCGTACTAGCCAGCAAAGAGGTGGGTTTGGTATTTTTTGTGGCTTGCACAGTGACTTTATTTTTGTATGCACTTAGACAAGTCTATGAAGTGATCTTGTTTACTGCTTCACTTCATCACAGTCACAGAGTGGCCATGTCTGATGTTTACGTTCTGTGAGATTATATTCAAAAGGAGAACATCAAGGCCTAGCTGTGAATGCCAGGCCTGTTTCCAGATTCAGAGACTGCTTTTCCCTCTCAAGTTCTTAAGGTATGTTTTAATTTAATGCTTTAAAATTTCTCCTGATACATCCCATTATGTCTTACAAAAACACCCAAATCTGAAGTTTTCATGGCTGTTCAGAAATAGTCACAAACCAATCTATGAACTTCCTATAAAAAAAGAATAGGCCAAATACATGCACGCATACGAAGATAACAGAGGAAGTGCAGAGTAGTTACTCAAACTAACCATAAAAGTAATAGAGGCAGTCATCTAAGTAGCAGGAAAAGAAAAACACAAACAAAAGCTGTATGATCCAAAAGAATTTTCTTTTCACTTTGATAAAAATAACTGCACTATCACATAAAGTGAATATACAAATGAACATGAACTAAAAATGCCTCATTTTTTTTCTTTTATTATAAAATATTAGGACAATTTGTAAAATCTGAATAAGATATAGGGATTAGATAACAGCACTGTATCAATGTTAACTTTTTGAATTTTAAAATTATATTATTACATAAGACAATAACCTTGTTTTTAAGGAAATATACACTGAACTATTTAGAGGTAAAGGAACATTATGTCTATACCTTACTCAAACAATCCAGAGAAAAAATTTTATGTGTATATACGTAAAAGAGAGACAGAATGAGAATGATAAAGCAAATGTAATCAAATGTTAACATCTGACAATCTGGATAAACGATACAAAGGATTCTTTTTATCATTCTTGTAAGTTTTCTCTAAGTTTGAAATTATTTCAATATAAAAAGTTAAAAAAAATGTCCAGCATCAAAATTAGATTTGACAAATATCAGCATCTCCAAGTCACAGATAAAGAGAGTAAAAGTCAAAATAATCATAAAATTAATTAGAAGAGATGTGAAGCCAGAGTCTATTTTACGCAAGCCTATAGTTTACTTTCCACAAAAAAAGCTTAGCATTTCAACATAATGATGGGTAATTCACCAATAGCTTATAACTTTTTTATCCCTGACAGAAACAATTCCCTGATTTTTCATAATTTCCTCTTACATTCCTCTTAAAGTCTGATGTTACCAGTATATTAAACAAAAAATTTTAACTCATCATTAATGAGCAAATAAATAGCTGATCATCAGAGCTATTGAAGCCCTAATCAACGCCACAGCATTCAAAAGAGCTGTCATTATAACAAGACATTCCAGTAAACTAATCTATGACTTTACAGCTCTGGTGATTATATTCATGGTACCAATAAAACATACTGTTAAATATATCATTTACCTGAGAACTGCCACTGAAACCTGGAGGTTGGCTGTATTCTGTGGAATCAATAATACTACTGCAAAATGAACAGAGAAAAATGTGATTTCAGTGTCTACATTTCATCAGACATCAAATAAATGCATAACTCATAAACAAATCGTCAAATATTTAAACAATTTACCCCTTCACCCCACCACTTTAAACATTCACACCATGAAAGAATGTCAAGAGAGAATAATCACAAGACAGTTGTACATATAGATGGATCTGCTTCAATATGGGCCAGCCCCGTGGCTTAGCGGTTAAGTGCGTGCGCTCCGCTGCCGGCGGCCCGGGTTCGGATCCCGGGTGCGCACCGAGGCACCACTCCTCCAGCCATGCTGAGGCCGCGTCCCACATACAGCAACTAGAAGGATGTGCAGCTATGACAGACAACTATGTACTGGGGCTTTGGGGGAAAAATAAATAAATAAAATCTTTAAAAAAAAAAAAGATAGTTTAATAAGTTGTTTGAAAATCTATTTAAGGAAAAGAGAACTTAGAGTATTGGGAAAAGAACACAAGCAGGCATTCAAAAGCTATGATTAACACATCCTGCTCTGCCACTAAAGAGCTATGTGCCCTTGGACAAGTGCCTTATAATCACTCATTTTCCTTCTCTGGAAAGTGAGATGAGTGCGGACTAGCTATTTCCAGATTATTTAGAGTTCCTTCCAGCTCCAAAATGTTATGATAATCATCTCATACGAAAGAAAACTGTCAAAGGAATGGAACAAATGACAAAATACCAATAATCTTTCTTTCACAATCCAAAACCTATATACTAGTTTTCTCTGCCCTGGTCAAACATAATCTGCATTCTGCATTGGTTCGTTTTACTTGGTTAAATCCTCTGTGCATTCTCCCACCTAACCCCAGAAAAACCTCTAGAAGTCCAGGCTATCTTTTCCTTCCAATTAGTTCTATCTTACCATTTCTATCTTATTACTTCATCATCCCTATCTCCTTCCCATCTTTAGACAAAATAAATTAGCCTATGAAGACTATTAACACCTGAAAATGGCATAACATATATATCAACCATGAAAAACTGACAATTATTTACATTTTCTAATTCTTTTTCTCTATTTCTACTATAAAAATGTTTATATTCTTGTCTACCCTAATGAAATTTAAGCAAGAGAGGGTACAGATTAAAATGGTTCTCTCTACATAAATATACAAAATCATTCTTTATTTTAGTACTCAAATAACCTCAAAGGTTATAACATGAGAGGCACTCTTAAGAGCATAGAGTGGATTTGAATTTCATCCCTTAGCAGCTAAATGCCCCTGGGCAAGTTATTAATCTTATTAATCTAGTTTTTCCATCCATTAAATGAGAAAGACACTTCAGGGAGGTATGAGATTTAAATCAATGTGTTAAGCTCTCAGTGCAATGCCAAAACATGGTAAACATTCAATAAATTTTACCCTCTATGAATAAAATTAGCCAATAACATACAACCTCACGTTTTCAAAAATACAATAAATCAGATGGAACTGTTCTCATAGTAGTCTTAAAAGAAAAAAGCAGCACATATTATCAGATCTCAATTCATTGTGTTCTTAACTGTTCCTATACTAAGACTCAATTATACAAAAAAGAGCCTTCAAAGCATTTACACTACAAATTAAAGAATTAACACAATCTCGTAATGGGTTTCTTTTGATGAAATATAACCAATGCTCACTTGCCTGCACAAAGTCATGCCCGGGACGACAAGATCACACGCTATTTTCAGTATACTCTACCCAGGGACTAAGAGGGCTAAAAAGGAGAAGATGCCATGTATTCAAAATCTCTGTTCCTTTTACTAATGAAATCCAATCCCCTGGCATTTGTATCAATATTAATAAAATTACATAGCTGCACATGTAGAGGTCAACAGAACACAGCAATTTCTAGACATGATTTTTTATGGTGTTAGAATTCAGATTTGACTGTAAGCCTGAAGAATTATATTGATATATATATCAGTATGTATAGTGAGATAACACTACATTTCAAATATATCTTAAAAAAAAAATGCCCATGGGAGGTGGCCCTGTGGCATAGTGGTTAAGTGCACGTGTCCAGCTTCAGTGGCCCGGGGTCCACAGGTTCGGACCCCAGGCACAGACCTATGCACCACTTATCTAAGCTGTGCTGTGGCAGGTGTCCCACATATAAAGCAGAGGAAGATGGGCACGGATGTCAGCCCAGGGCCAATCTTCCTCAGCAAAAAGAGGAGGATTGGCGACCGATGTTAGCTCAGGGCTAATCTTCCCCACAAAAAAAAAAAAAAAGAAAAAAGAAAGAAACTCATCAATTTGTCAAAGATATTGAAATTACAGGTTTTAAATGGTATTTTATTAATAATTACTGCAAAGTCTGAAATTTATTTTATATCAGATCTTAATCTTACTAAGAAAAATTTGTTAATGCAACGGGACTGCAACAAAAGAAACTGGAAAAATAAACTCCTTTAATTCTGTTTTTTAGGTGTGTGTGTAAAGTAACATGATTAGAAGAGAATATTACGAAGCACTGCTGGGCTGGGTCCTCTTGATTCCGGTGCTTTCCTACTTCTTAACTCTGACTTAGCCACAATCACCACATGGTAACAACAACAATAGTAATACCACTTACTGAGCATTTACTATGCACTAGGCACTGGCTTAAATAATTTAAACTTCATAACTCTAAGGTAGATACTATTATCATTCCCATTTCTCAAGTGAGGAAACTCAGGCACTGAGAGATTATATATCTGGCCCAAGGTAACAAAGTTAGCAAATAGCAGAGTTAGGATTCAAACCCATGCAGTCAGGTTCCAGAGTCTACACTGAACTACCATGCTAAGCACATCATGTTCTCTAATTGAAGAGTGGGGAAATCCTAGATTAGTCCAACCCATTCCATAGACATAATTTAAGGAGAAAAGTGAAAAAACAGCAACCTATAAATATGAAAGAGAATCATCAAGTATTTCAAATAAATGTCAATAAAGTTATAAAAATTTAATAAAGACATCAAAGAATAGCCAGGGCAAGAAGAAAATTTCAGGGTAGTAACTAAAACTGAGTTAGGAAAAATACACTTTAATCAAGATAGGGAAAATAAGATGATAAAAAAAAATTCCTAATGTTCTTGCTGGTGACAATGAGAAGCTTAGCTCAAAACATAAATGAAAACTATGCAGCTGTTAACTCGAGTTACAAAGGAAATTCACAGTTAAGCAACTAGATGTCATACAACTACTCTCACTTAAATTATTTGCTTTCATAAGCAAAGATATACGTTGTAATTAACAGACAGAGTTAAGTCAATTGTGCATATAAGCTGTATCTATAATGAACAGGTAGCTAAGAGAAAACAGTGGTTCATTCCTGGTAAAAATAATAGGTGACTAGTTTTAGATTGGGCTTTTATTTGAAAAAGGATTATTCATATTTAAATTATAAATAGATACAACATTAGCTAGTTAAATTATAGAGAATTTTTTAAGCTATGAGCAAAATAAAGTATATTGAGATCATTTAAGGCTTAACATAAAATAAATATGAGGTTTTTTTAAATAAATAAGGGAAGTGAATGGACCAAAAAAAAAAATGCTCTGTATACACACATGAAATTATACTAACTGCTATCACTGATTTGTTTTTTTACTAGTATAAACTTAAGACAGAAGAAATAAACTTCTACATTTAATCAACTATATGGGGCTACAGCCAAAACCTGTTCCTCTCTTCAGAATTCTACATAAAATTATCGAACCAGTTCCCCAAAACAAAACACCCTAAGCAACGTGTAACCTGAAAATAATCTGACATAAATTTTAATAATGATTAAAACCAAACACGGTTTTACCTTTTTAAAACAGCAAAGTTTGTCACTATTATATTGCCTTTCCACCAAGGCAATAATCCCTAGTATTACAAACAGATCAGAGCTAAATTACCTGCTTCTCTCAAAATAATGCTTTTCTATCCATTACTTAACATAGAGCTTTTTCTCTGCTACATCAGAGTGTACTGTATTATTGTTTCCTTTATACAAAAACTGAAGCATTGAATATCAAATTAACGGTAAATCCCATTTACTAAGGAACCAAAATTCTTGTGGTCCCAATTTGCCAACACCTCAAGAGATACTAGAAATCAGTCTTCGTGTTCATTTTTTCTTTTCTAATTCCACATAACCTTTAACACTTGACACAACTATTCACACAAATCATCCAAAATCAACGTGACCATCTATCTACTAACAATAACAGCAGAAGCTAACATCTATTAAGTGCTTACTATGTGCCAGGCATTATTCTCATTTCTTTAAAAGTATTATCACATTTTACCAGTCAAGACAGGAATTATTATCCTTATTTTATAAATGAGAAAACTGAGATGTACAGAAGTTAATAAACTTGCCTAAGGTCAAAGTGCTAGTAAGTTGTGGAGTTGAAATTTAAACCCAGGCAGTATAATTCCAGAATCCTCACATAAGACTGCCAAAGCAACATGTTTTCTCTTCTTCAAGAATTACTGCCCTGTCATTTTTGAACTGAAAGCTTCTATTTATCTTCTTTTCAACGTTTTATTCTCAACTCTGTGATGATTTCCAAAACCCTTTCACCTCCTAACAGGCTCTAGAGTAAGGATGCCTGTGTTAGATAAGGATGCCTGGTTACACCACTAACTGTGTGACGCTGGGCAAATTACTGCATCTCTCTGACTCAATTTCCTCATCTGTAAAGTGAAGAGGATAAAAAAACCTAGTACATATCATTTGTCCTGAGGATTACATGAGATAATATGTGTAAATTACAAAATAGTACCTAATGTACAGGTGCTGTGTTACTCTGACAGTTACAACTTTTGTAAATAAATACAGTTCTCTTCTAGAACAATAATAATTTCCTGATTTTGATGCAAGATCCAATTGAAAATTAACATGGCATCTTTTCTTATACACTGTCTGTTTAGGGCTCTTCAGAAATAAACAGTGCTACTACTCGTCTTATATTTGAAAGAATTTCAATGAGATATTTCACAACA